CCTTGGGAGGGATAACCCCTCCCTGCTGCCCCCAGCACAGGAAGAGGCTGCAGGATCACTTCCCTGAGCCCTTTCCCTTCCAAAATACCCAAATATTCCACTACCATGAGGACAAAAATCCAAGGGAGCTGCACCTGACTCTACCTGAGCAGTCCAATTTTCTGGATGATGATGGTTTTGCTTGATTTAGGGATCAAACCTGAAGTCTTCACCAAGGAAAAAATTCCAATTTTGGTTAATTGGGTTTTCTGCCTCAGTAAAATGTTGAAAATTGAGCCAAAACATAGACATATTCAACTGTTAACCTGTTAGAAATACCTCTGGGATACTGGGAATGCAGTTTAAGGTACTATATATAGCTGGAGGAACTGCATACTTTCAGAAGACACTTTAAAATCTGTGCTGGAAAATACATAGTTAAATGTCTACTGAGCCTGTTCCAACGGGACCCACATAACTCCTCTCCTTAGCCCTGCAGGGGCCTGTGCCTCTGGCAGGTGGGAAACAAAGCCCTTCCAGCACTTGGGAATACAAGGTCTGCACAGTCCTCACATCTGCACTGCTCCTTCATTCCCAGGAGCTGATCACAACAGATCTACCACCCAACTGGGTTAGCAGAGCAGATCTTGGATCACTAAATTGTCGTAATTAAAACCCATAACATTTCTGCCTACCTGACTTTTTCTCCCTTTTCATTCATCTCTATTGCTATCTATGGTTTTCTCCTTTCTCTTTCCCATCCTTGCGAGTTTCTTAAACTCCATAAGGAGGTGACCATGGCTGCAGGTACCTCCTGCCACTTCCCTGCAAGGAAAAGGACACAATGACCAATGTGGTGTTGAGACCTTTGGGGCATCCAGAAATGTTTGTAGGGAAGCAAATCCTGCGTAGAATGAAATCCCTATGTTGACACCATGAAAAACAGCTCTGGGTTTGCTATTGTTTTCCCATCTCTGTTCAGCCAACACCTAAGTATGAACAGACAAGCTGGAGCTGGGGAATGGCTGAGGAATTTTGCTCACCAGTTCCCTCCCTCACCTCTCCCAGTGAGTACTTCCAGTGCTAAACAGCATTTTAGGCATTGCCTGGGGAGTGACAATGGTTCAGTGCACGACTCTAAAGCAGTGAACTACCCACAGACAATCCTGCAGGAAAGAGAAATCGTGGCTTCTGACAGTGGAACATTTCACTCAGTTCTAACCCTGGAGATGTGGCTTCTGACAGTGCAACATTTCACTCAGTTCTAACCCTGGAGTGTGCTGGGGCACATCAGAAATGTTCCAGATGATGACCAAAGAGTCAGCTTATATTGTTAACCTGCAGACAATCCCCATTTCCTCTTCTCCTCTGCAGCAGTGTCCACTGTGTAAGGGATTACACTGGTGCTGCTGCTTCCTGCCTTACCCTGTCACTTCTCCAAGGGCTTTTGGATCCCCAGTGTGGCTCCTGTGTGAATCTAGTTTTGTATTAAAGCTGATTGAGAACTGTCTGGCTCCCAGTGACTGAGCTGAGAAACTGCCTTACTGTTACATTTTTTGTAATAAAATTTTTAATGTAAAAAGAAATGAATGGGCTTAAAATAAAAGCCACTGCCATCTGCAGTGAGAAATGCTCCACATCCAGCTCTCCTCTATGTGCTGCTGTCAGTCTCATCACACAGAGTGCACACCACAAAACAGCTCATCTTCCCTTCACCTCCTCAGTGGCAGGTGCAGGAGATGCGGCTCCCACAAATTGTTGTTAAGCACTGAACTTGGTGTCTCAGTGGGGAACACACAGCACTCAAGGACTGCCAAAGGGGAGGGGAAGGCAGCCAGTGCTGGCCTGAAAGCACATTGTGCCCAAAAATATAGGGAAAGGAGCTGAAGTGCTCTGGGGGAGGAGCGTGGCTCAGCCCCTTTGTCTCCCCAGGGCAGGGACTGGTGGCAGAAGATGGTGTGGAGGTTCACAGTGACGCAAGAACCAGAGCTGCTGGGCTGAAACACTAAACAGGCACAGCAAGGGGTGAGCTGCTGAGAGCCCCTTTTCCAGGGATGACAAATACTTCCATTTCCTGCAGCCAAAAGGTCAAACAAGCACTTACCCTGAATAGTGGTAGAGTGGGAGAGAAAGCACCAGAGACTCATACAGCAGGGTGGGAGACTGAGCACTCCATGGAGGAAGGTCAGGCTGATGTCTCTGCAGTTCATACACAGCTGTTATGGGCTCCACTCTTCAGAGCAGTGGAACTTGGCTTAACTCATGGTCATCAGGAACCTGCAAAAAGCACAGCAAGGGCTGGTTAGGAGCTTTGATCCTTTTGCCTGTGGAATGGAGCCTTGTGCTGCTGATGGAGCACTTGGCTTGCAGGTAGGGAACTGCCCTCCCCTCCCCAGGCAGCCCATGGACACAGCTCGTGTGCTCACAGCTTTGGCAGCTGCAGCACAGGAAATAAGGCTAAAGCATAGCAGTGGTTTGTATGTGGAGAGGTGACTGGATTCCATCCCCAGCCTCTGCGTGCTGCTGCACTGCTGCCTCAGCCCCTCCTGTGGAGGAAGCGAAGGGCTGTGCTTCAGTCCTGTGCTGCCCCAACCAGTGCTCATACACTGTTGCTTCCCACTGTCCTGCCTAGGTACCTGGGGGAGGGGGTGGGTGGGTTCTGGCAAAACTGCAGCTAGAGCATGACCATGGGAGGAACCTTGTGTGGGGGTAAGAACACAGCAGCTACAGCTGAATAGGCAAGATAAGGACAGAGAGAGGGAAAAAGGCTGAAGAGAAAGGGAAGGGTCTGGTACAATCAGAATCACAGATTGGTTTGGGTTGGAAGGGACCTTAAAGTCCATCTAGTTCCACTCCCTAGCATGGGCAATACCTTTCACTAGCCCAGGTTGATCCAAGCCCCATTCAGCCTGGCCTTGCACACTTACAGGGATGGAGCAGCCACAGCTTCTCTGGGCAACCTGTGCCAGTGCCTTACCACCATCACAGGGAACAATTCTTTCCTAATATTCCATGTTCCCTGCCCTATGGCAGTGCAAAGCCATTCCCCCTAGTCCTGTCACTCCAGGCCCTTGCCCAAAGTCTCTCTCCATCTCTCTTGGAGCCCCTAAAAGGTACTGGAAGGCCACAATTGGGTCACCCTGAAGCCACCTCTTCTCCAGGCTGATCAATCCCAACTCTCTCAAGCTTTCCTCCCAGCAGAGCTACTCCAGCCCTCTAATCACCTTGGTGCCTTCTCTGGACTCACTTCAACAACTCCATGTCCTTCTTGTGCTGGACCCCAGAGCTGGAGCAGCACCCCAGGTGGGGCTCACCTGAGCAGGGCAGAGGGGCAGAATCCCCTCCTGTGGACAGGGGAAAGCAGCACAAGGCTGAAAGGCCCTGGAGAGCCTGGCCCAGACCACACACTTGGGTGCAGCCCCACGGGGGAGTCTCTGACCAGCCACTCATCCTCCTGCAGCTGCTGGACTCTGCCCCAGCTCCGAGGGGCTCAGGCATTGCATCATCGAGCTGCAGCTCTCTCCGGTAATCAGTGACTCATCTGGCTCCCAACCCAGGCTTGGAAGCAGCCGCGGATCACCCACTAACCTGAACTACAAACTGCCTCTTGCCCCGGCCAAAGCTGAGAGAAAATGAGCTCAGTCCTTCAATCCCCCTCAGAAACCCGAGGGAAGGATCCCATCACTGCCACCACCACGTGTCTCTGGAAAAGGACACTTCAGTGTCCTGGAGCAGCCTCTGCAGTCCCACACTCCCAGGACACACGGGTCAGCATTCCCTTGGCGTGGCAGGTAACTGAAGCCAAGAGGGTTTTCCAGCTCCGCCTGGGATGGGGTTCGCTACCATCAGTGCGGGGACCCAGAGACACGAGCCCAGCCGCAGGAAGGGTCACTCAGCTCTTCTCCCGGCCAGGAGCGCTGCCAACAGCCCGACAGCTCAGCGGGGTGTGTGACTCACCCAGCCCCGGGGCTGCGCCGCGCTCACAGCGTGACGGAGGCACAAGGGAATGCACTGAGTCAGGAGCCGCCGAGCCCGAGGGCAGGACGAGGTTCAGAGCCAGCTGTCAGAGTTCACCGTCGTGGCAAACTGCATCTGTATCTCTGAAATCTTTAGAGAAAGAAAAATCGGCACAGGGAGGAGGTATTTGCAACCACAGTGGGTCAGAGCAAAGTCAGACAACCTGGAGGCACCTGCTGTGCACATCCACTTGGGAAGTTCCGCCCTGCTGCAGCTGCTGAGCAGCTCCTCGAGGAGAGACTGTGTGCGTGTGGTGTTGTGCTTGTCAGCTTTACTCAATCCTGCATTTTTCCTGGTGTTCAGATCTGGGTGCAACTGAGCTATTTGCAGCTGGACTGGAAACGCCTCAGGAGATTGGTGCGGGGAGGGGAGGAAGGAAGCAGGAGAGGAGAGTGGCTCATCCTTCAGGCAAGGCAGAGGAGATGCCACGTCTTGGAAAAGCAGTTGAAGTGCTTTTTAGTCACAAACTTTCGCTTCAGCACAAGTGACAAACCACCAGGAAAGTTTCTGACTCCTCTTTTCCCGGGCTCTGCCCTTTGCCAGCTGCTCCCTCCCTGCCGTGCTCAGCTTTCCTAACCAATTCCAATGGATTTTGCAAACAGCCCTGGCCAGAGCCACCCTCTCCGGGCTGCAAGTCCTGCCCATGCCGCACTCCCTGTGCTTTACACCCTCTGCAGTCCTGCAGGCATTTCCTCTCGCTCTGTTTGCCTTCAGGAGCACAGGGATCAGCCACCAGAGGCCAAGGGATGATGAAGAAAGCTGTGTTCTGGAACTGCCTCCAGACAAACCCTAAAAGGCTCCACAAAAAAGCATGGCACGAGGCACAGGCACCCAGGGGCTCTACACAACATTCCCCAGCTATTCCTGAATAGTTGCTTTGCTCTTTTTCACATTAATTTGGGCCAGGCTCTCAGGGCTGGGAGCACTGGGACTGCAAACTGGAGTGTCAGGCAGGGCAGGGATTCAGCCGGCAGAGGCACCAACAGCTCCACTGTGCAAGTTACAGTGTAGGACTGTTTTGCCCAGTTTTCCCTGCACTGGAGCTCCCTGACAGCAAATTCCAGGGACCATTTCCACCCATGGCTGACAGACCAATCCCCAGCATGGGCTGAACCAGCAGAACAGGCCTGAGCTCTCCAGGACTCCCACAGGGGAGTCCTCACTTCACCACATCCCCATTGCTTTGTGCAGAGATGTCACAGGTGTCACAAAAGGCTCACTAGAGGAAGGATTTGCTGGTTCCCAGGCTCCAGGAATAGAGTCTCAGGGAGCAACCTGGCATCTCTAGCTCAACACAAAACATCACCCTAATTTCTCACCAGGCATTACAGTGCTCCCCCTGCTTGTCTGCAGCTTGGACACTGTTAATCTCCCTGCCCACTGCTGTCTCCATCTGGGTTTATCTTTCAAAGGACAAAGCTGGTTTGAGGTTCCCTTGGGACCTCCTGCATTCCTCATGTGTCCCTCACCCAGTAACTCAGCCCAGCTGCCACAGGACAGCAGTGAGCAGCTCTAGCTAGGTAACAGCACTCAGGGAGGCCCCACACAGGTGTCAGCCACCACACAGGTGTCACCTCTGGCTGGGGGCCTGAGGAACCCTCCCAGCCCCTTCTGAGTGCCACTGAGCATCAACACCAGGAGCAGTGGGCACCAGAACACATGGAACACAAAGTCAGCAGCTGCCTCTGGCTCCACACCATTTCACAGGAGAGGAACTAACCACCTTGTTTGCTGCTCTTCCCCACTTCTCTGACTTACCTGTCCGAGAAACTAAACTTGGCTGTGGTGCCTCCTCCTTATCCCACATCTGGAGCACACAATTCACAGCCACATGCAGACAGACACAGGCAGGTGCCTTGGGGCTTTGGCTCTGCAGCAGCAGCAACACATTAGAGCTGAGGCTCCAACAAAACAAGCAAATGTCACAATTTGCATTTGTTTGCCACAAGACCTGCTGCCCACTCCCCTGAGGAGCAGTGCTGTGCTGCAACACAGCCAAAAACCTTTCTGGGAGCAGCCAGAGCCTTCCCATGGTGTTTTCTT